GTAAATTAATCTGAATCTAAATTAGAGATATCAAAGATTAACATTTTTACAGCAGCATATCTTAAGATGTACAAATAGGACCCAATATAAGGCAGGGATTTTTCATGGTTTAATTGTCGTTACCATAAAACAGGCCTTCCTTTTCAAATAAAACTCCTTTCCACATCCAAACTGATATATCCTGTCAGCACTTCAGGGTCATCCCCCCTTGCAGTGGTGCTGCTGAGAGGGAGAGAAGCAGTTCTGGTTAGAATCTAGAATGTAGTCTGGCCAACTTTTATTTTTATTGAAAGAAAACATATTTAACATTGTCTCTGGGAGGTGGAGAACAAACATAGAACATAGCTTTATTCCTCTTAAATAACCAAAAATTGTCTTCCTCTATGTTTAGATTTTTTTTGCATTAAAAGACACATTAGTTGTCATTTTAAATCATGATGCAGGTGAATGATGCAGTTTTTAATTTTAAGCCCGTTGTTTTTTGCATATTTTAATTTTGTAAATGCTTCTATATCCATTACACATTTATCCGCCTAGTATATATTATCATTTATTTTTTTTGTCCAGATCTTGCCAAAACTGGGTGATACAAATCACCTCAACACGTCAACCAAATTAAGTCAGGTAATTTATGCCAGAGCTGCACTGCAAAAAAATCTAGAAATAAGTAAAAATGTCGGTAAAGTATATTAACTCTTAACTTGAGTAGGTAAATAAGATTATCTGCCAATGAAATTTGTATTTTTTACTCTTAAAATACAATAATTAGATAATATGCACTTGAAATAAGACAATGCAATGTTTTTTTCTTATTTAAAATATAAATTGTCTTTTTCCATTGGTCAAGTGTCTCACTTACCTCAATTCAAGAAAAAATGCACTTAAGAAAAACATCTTATTTAGATTGAGGAAAACCAATAATAAAAAAGAAAAACTCCAGATCCATCCAGCAAATACTAATCATAATGCTCAATAACCGAATTAAAGTCGCTTCTTGGAAAGAAAGGGTCATCCGTCTGCCCTTTATGGAGAAAATTAGACTTTAAGATCACCACTTAATGCAAGTACTGAGGCAGCTCTACTTATTCTCTTGTTTCATGACATTTCACCTCTGATCCAAAAGCCTCCCTCAGTCCTGGACATGGTTGGAAGAAACAGTCTCATAAATCACTGAGTCTGCTGATGAAGGTTCTCAGTCATCCAGGTCATAGTCATTCCGTAAAAATTCAAAAAAATATCCACTGGACTTGGTTTTCAAGATTTGAAGACGTTTCGCCACCTCTCCAGGAAGCTTTCTCAATTCAATCACTGAGTCAATAAGGTCATCCTCATCGTTACTTAACAATCCAAAGATGCCGTTCTGTGCTTTAGTTTGAAAAACAACTTTCTTCTCTCACATCAAATCCCTGCATTGATGAAACATTATTGCAGGCTTTCATTTAGTTCCTGTGTCTCTGTCGGACAGACCCACAGTGGATCTGATCGGCGCCATGGAGACACAGAGCGAGCCCTCCGAGCTGGAGTTAGACGACGTGGTCATCACGAACCCTCACATCGAAGCCATCCTGGAGAATGAGGACTGGATAGAGGACGCATCGTATGTCTGCCTGCACTCTTTTTAGGATGGATTTAAAACCATTTTTATGACACTACTGATGGCATTTTAATTTTTGTTCAAGTTGATTAATGTAACTATGAATTTGTGTTCAACAGCGGCTTGGTGTCACACTGTATCTCTATTCTAAAGGTAAATTAACTAAAGGAAATTTAACCTTGTTTTATTGACCTGTTGTTCTAAAAATAAGTAAATATTTCTTAAAATAAGTATTTGTCCTTAATTTGAGCACGTAAATAAACTGATCCACCAACAGCTTCAGTATTTTCCTCTTAGAATGAGAGAAATACATTTAATACACTTTAAATAAGAGAATTCAGTTTTTCTTTTTCCAAACATAAATTATTTCATTTCGATGGCAAATTCTTACCAGCTTAAAATATGGGGAAATACCTTTTTCTTTAGAAGATTAGTTCACTTGTTTTCCAGTGTGCTTTTTTATTTATGGTTGACCTTTCTGATCATGCTGTTCCACACACAGATTTGTCACACTTTGACTGAAAAGTTGGTGGCCATGACAATGGGATCAGGGGCAAAGGTCAAAGCACCAGCCAGTTTGAGTGACATCATAACAGTGGCCAAACGGATCAGTCCAAGGTAATAAGTCTTACAGTGCTTGTTGTTATTACAGTTCTAACACCCGCTGACTTGGTCTCTCATTTTCTTTCTTACAGAGTAGATGATGTGGTCAGGTCAATGTACCCTCCACTGGATCCAATCCTGCTGGATGCCAGGTTGTCCCATCTGAATGCTTAATGCAAAGATTTTTAACTCCATATATATTCATTTTACAAACATCTGCTTTTAATTTAAATGTGCTCCTCTTGTCTCTCCTCAGAGCCACTGCTTTGCTCCTTTCAGTCAGCCACCTGGTGCTGGTCACCCGCAACGCCTGTCACATGTCCGGCAGCATGGACTGGATCGACCAGTCGCTCCATGCAGCGGAGGATCACATGGTTGTTCTGCGTGAGGCGGCTCTGGCTTCTGAACCGGAGCGAATCATACCTGGAGCTGATGCTCAGAGAGAACAGGCCATTTGAAAGGAGAGAAAAAAAAGCAGCTCAGATCTGTAGAATACCGTTTGAATAATTCAGTTTAAACTTTCTGACAAAAAGAAGCAAACTTTTGAGTCTGCATGAAAAACACATCTATTGCTACTCATGGACAGAATATTATATGAATTCCTTTAGAAATCTTTTCTGAAATGCATCATCCAGCAGTAGACCTAAATTCAGTCAAACAGGCACTGCAGAGTCACAAGGAGGCTTAGTCAGCTAATCCATCCTGACCAAAATAACATCCATTAGCCAGTGAACCTGAAGGTGCTCATATGCAGTTTACCAAGGCAGGACAAGCCTGGCTAGCTGAGTATGTGTGGGGTCAGTTTGACATTAGGATTTGGTGAAAAATCTAAGTTATCTGATGTTAGAATAGAAACAAGGTGCGTTTCTTTTAGGCTTTTGTTCATTTTCTTCCCTCACTCCTGAGACATTTCAGAGGTGCAACTCTTACTTGAGTTCACACATTTAATTTAAAAACGACATTATGATAATAGAGCAGATATTAAAGGTATAGCAGAGGATATCTTTTTCCAGGTGGATCATCAAAATAAGTGGTGCTCCTAATTGTCCTAGTGTTTACCTAAGGCCGTCCAATGTGCTCATCCCCATTTTTACTTAGAGAGTCTGACATAGTGGAAAAATTGCAAATCTTCTTTTGGAAAGTAAGCTTGTATGAGCGATGCAAACAGCAACTTTCAAACAGAGCGTGCACAAGGAGAAATGGGCTCCTGCATGCTCCTACATGCATTTAATAGGCGTTCCCTCTCAGGAGCGGGTACAGGGTTGTGCATGTGCATTTTGTTTTAAGTGGAGAGGGTGGGTCTTTTCAAAATTCGCCTCCTCTATACCTTTAATGCTGTAGATTCTCCTGCTGGAGTTTCTGGTAGAGACCTCATTTCTTCTTTTTTTCTATTATATAAAGAAAGTGCAAAGCAGCTACAGACTGTTACACTAAATCTCCACTATGTGTATGATCTTCTCTCTCTGAAATGCGGTGTTCGCTCCCTACCAGATGCAGAGCTCTCCAAAAGTTCTTTTTTGGTCTCATCGGTTGACACTGTATTTCCCAAAGAGTCTTAAGGATCATATGGAGGCAAAACATTAAAAAACATTTCAAAAACAAATGTTTTTTAATAGGAGCCATGCCTTTGTTTTTTGTTTTTTAATCAGCAGTGGTTTTTGTGTTGTAACACTTCCATTGATGCCATCTTGTTAAATGAGGCCTGCAGTACCTGATTTACTGTCAGGTCGGCCAATTCTGGAAAGGTTGACCTCTGTTCCATGTTTTTTTTTTTATCCGTCTGTGGATAACGGGGCTCATTGCATTTCCCTGGAGCCCATAAGGCCTTAGAAATGAGTTTACAATCATATCCAGACTAACTTTTTATCCCCGTCTGCCTCTGAATGTATTTAGATCAAGATGTTTTATTTTGAAATCTTTTAGGTCAAATCAAGTAGTTTTCTTTGTTTTTACGTAACTTTATCCGATATTAGATTTTATTTAGTCATTTATAACATTTCAATGTGATAAAAGCAAACCCTTTAACACAGCTGAAAATTGGTGTGCCATGACGACACACCAATTTTTTGTTGATTGAGGTGAAGCAGAATTAGCTTGTCGCTTTGAGCCGGAGGGATGTTATTGGAGCATGTCTACCTGCTCCTTCATGCATAGCTAATAGTGAATCCCCAAGGAGCCGTAATAAGGCATTACCCACGGACGATGTGAACGCAGTGGCCTCAGCTACAGCCCATGCGTCTTTGTACACAAAGTCCTGGCACAAGCATAACAGTTGGATGACAATGAGAAACACTAATATATTTGGTGACAATCAGAACTTGTTGGAAAAGAGAAGATGTTCTCTACTTTGTTTATAAAAAAAACATTGCAACTCTGAGCACACAAAGGCTTTCTGGTAAATATACAAATGAGGAGATCATAGAAAGTTCTTGTCTTTTTTTGTTTATATGCACCGACTTTCTTTAAAAGTTATACTTTCTCATTTTCATTCAGTATGTCTTAGTACCATAGATTTTTCTATTTTTAATATTTTGTACAGAAAAATGTCCTATAGGAACCCTGTGGTTCCTGTAGAAAAATTGTTTGCAGTTAAAAGTTCACACTCTTATATTGCTCCGACATAAATAAAGTGATTTTTTTTTTCTGTTTACTACACTCTGAGCAGTCCTTTGTGCAATAAAGGTAGAGCCATCCCTGCTTCCCCCTTCCTGTCCCATAGATGTTCCAGGTGCAGAATCATCAGACCATCAAGATTTCACTGAATCCAGTTGTCTAATAAAACAGTTCTTTGCTTTTCTTCAGATCAGTTTGCTTGCAGCTTGGAAGGGAAGCACTTCATTTCCAACATAGCCTAAAACAGAAACGGTGTAGAAAAATTAAAAGAAGCGAAACACAAGATTTGAAAAATTAGGACCCAGCTTTATCAGGATGTTATGATTCTGCTGCAAGTGCATAATTATTCTTTTCTAGTGAACATTGCCCTCTGCTGGTTGAAAGAAGCCAATGTAGTGCTAGTGGTTCGTGCTCTCTGGAGGTTACCTGAAAGTCCTGACCAGACAGTTAGACCTCCAGGTTCTGTGGCTCCACTCCTTCAGGTAAGGGGCTCTGCAGCTCTTCCACAGGGTGTTGGCTCTTCATGAGCTGGGCCAGGGCGTCCTGCACCAAGGTCAGCTTCACTTCCCCCGAGTCCCTCTACAACACATCATAATAGAGAAGTGCAATTGCTTAAAACCAAAAATACTGTATTATTAAAGAGGGCAGCCACAAAACATAAATAATTTTATTTCATTATGTATCATTTGAATTTTTTTCATTCAACCGCCAAATGTTCTATTATTTGAAGGTCTTTCAAAGATACAAGTTTACTGAGTAAATTAAAGGATTTTTTTCCCAGCAACATGGGTTTAATATTTCTTAAAGGAGTGAGTGTTTTTTTTTTTTACTCTTATTTTGTGTTTTTTATCCTATTTTATGTTTTCCTTTTTGCTATCAGGCAGGTGAATTTCCCCTATCAGTAATTAAGAAAGTATCTATATATCTAACTGTTTGACTACAGAAATGGAAGTATAAGAATTTGCTGTTAAATGTTCAAAACAAATATTCATGAGATGAAAAACTTTCAATACCCAATATCATTTTTGAACCTATCCCTTATAAGAAAATTGATAATTCATCCATAACCTTTAACATCTTTTGTGGCTGCTAAATGGAAGAGGGGAAATTAAATAGTTATAAACCTGCTTAAAAGAATAATCTTAAAATGTTGCATATTCATTGTCTATACTCACTTTGATGCACCCAAATAAAAACAAAAAAAGTGAAATCTATTTCTTTCAGTAGAAACCAGATTGGAGGACATTATAGACCACCTGGGTTTGATTTATTCTAAGGATAAATACAGGTAATGATGGCGACAGCAAATATGTGTGGAAATAAGCTCTACTAAGAAGAGGCAACATGCATCTGGAAACATTTTGCATGTCGCTCAGAACACAAACCAAATATGAAACAAAACAAACATAGAAATTAGGACTGTACTGTGTACTTGGGTGATATAATATATAATGCTTATATATTCTTCCTGCCTGAGTAATCGCATTAACACTATAAGGGCAGTTTTTGATGTTTAACCCAAGCTTCCTTCAACCCTAAACCTTGCAGTTTAGGCTGGAAATAGTCTTATTGGAGAGTCAAGAGTAAAATATAAGTATGCCACAGCTAAATTTCTTTTAAGGTCATAGTTAGAACTTTTTCTTAAAAACTAAGAAATGGTGGGTTGAAGTCAGAGCTCAGATCATACACTGCCTGGCCAAAAAAAAGGTAATTCACTCTAATACTTTATTGGACAGCCTTTAGCTTTGATTACGGCACGCATTCACTATGGCATTGTTTTGATAAGCTTCTGCAATGTCAAAAGATTTATTTCCATCCATAGTTGCATTAATTTTTCACCAAGATCTTGCATTGATGATGGTAGAGTCTGACCCCTGCGCAAAGCCCTCTCTAGCAAATCCCAAAGATTCTCAATGGGGTTGAGGTCTGGACTCTGTGGTGGCCAATCCATGTGTGAAAATGATGAGTCATGCTCCCTAAACCAGTCTTTCACAATTTGAGCCCGATGAATCCTGATATTGTCATCTTGGAA